TCGTCCATTTATGCAGTGAGGCGTTTTCCGCAAACAAGCAGGAAGCAGGATCGGAGGATGGAGGATGCGTCGGTCACTGGTCCGTGACCATGTCCGTTTCCGCTGTCCACTATTCGCAACCGGAAGCGGATGGCCAGCCACCACCCACCCCCTTTTCGAATTAATTTCGCCTGCGTATGCAAATACATTTTCAAACAAATCAAATTAATTTAATACGAGATTTTGATTTGATTTTTGCCAAATGCTAAATGTATTTATATACATTTTTCCCCCGTTTGCGATGATGATGCCCGGACGGGCATTAACTTAATTGCATTTAAATCGAAAACATCGCAAGTGCATTTCGTGCGAGTTTTAATTAAAACTAAAATAAATAATCAACCGGGATGTGGAGCACTCCATTCAGTCGGAATATTGACCGCTTTCCGGATACTTTTTACTGATAGTTGCTGGTAGCTGGTAACTGCTAGTTGGTAGTCTGGTAGCTTTAACCATTTCCAATAAGACTTACTGCCGCTGGCCAAACACACTGGATCACACTCTGTTCATTCATCATACTCAGCTCCTAATGAGTTCTCCCCCAGCCACATACTCACCGTTCTCCTGTTGGCCTGTCAAAACGCAATTTGATTATTAGATGCCATCCATGTGGTCGTCTGAAATTTCATCCAATCGAATGGGCTGCTGCTCCACGATAAAGGTGTGTTCGAACTGCCAATCGATAAGCCGCCTTTATGCCAGCCCGACCGCCCAACCGCCTAACCGCCCGACTGCCCGCCTTTTCCTGCACATCAGTCACTGTCAGCCCACCAGGAACCAACCCACCTGCCAACCACAAATGGGCAACCACCCACTCCACTCCATGGCGATCCCAATACCATTCCATACTCCCCATGCCGAAACGTGATTAATGCGTTGACGTTGCAGCTAAGCCCGCTGTTGCCGGCCATCATCAACAGCAGATATAGCCCAAGATATCGGCCAAAACGTATGGCAGCAAGTTTTTAGATAATGCCCAGCAGATTTCACACTCGGCACACAGAGATTTGTAATGTTTTGATTGCCGAGAGGACGACGGCGCGTGTCAGGACTTTTGTGTCCTTTTGGTCCATGGCAAGGAACTCTTTTACGGAGGACACGTGCCCGCATTTGGGAGCGTAAGGTTTCGCGGATTAATTTCAATTTGCCAGCTAGAAAAAGAGGGTGTGGAGCTGCAGAGCTTTGCTGCTAATTATGTGTGGAATGTTTTAGATAAACAAAGAGCGCACAATGCAGCAAGGAACAGGCTGCAGCGGCAAAAAGGACATCAGATGTTGCTGTTGGGTGTTTCAGTTGCTGCTTTTACTTTTGCTGTTGCTGCTGCTGATGTTGCTGGCCTAATCCGTAAGTGTCGTTCTCAAGCACGCAACAGCGGCAGGCGCTGATAGAGCACACACACCGACCCGCCGAAAGGACACTGAGGACATTCGCCATCAGAGCCACCAGCTCCGCCACCCCCAACCCACTTCATAATGATGTGGCACTGTCGACATCGACGTGTCATCGACAAGCGGCAACGGTTTTGGGTGGGGTCGCACAGCCAGCCTGTTGGTCAGAGATAACAGCAATTTATTTTCAAGTCATCATTTTAATTATCCCGTTCGCAATGCTGGCAATGGCAACCTTGCGTTCTGGGCGCGGCTGGCATTAAACGTGACAACACGATGGCAGCCATTTTGCTCATTAAAATATAATATGTATTTTTTAATTTCACAGAAATGTTTGCACAAAAATTTTCTCGAAACAAAGTTGAGAGCAGCAGTCCGTTGTCTGCTCTACCAAGCCCTCACCGTGTCCTTTTTCCTTTTAACCGAAAAGCCCCCACTTTTCCTGTTCCTTCTTTCATTGCCATCTTTTATTCCCTGTCTGTCTCTTTGGCTGCACAACTCAGGACTGTAGCCCGAAAATCCTTTTTTCTTTTTAGTCCTCCCTTTGTTTTTTTTTTTTTGTGTTTTCCATTTGCCTAACCGGGTAACCCAACCCACCCACCAGGCCTAAACCCCACCACCGGGTACCCTCTCAGACCATCCGCCATCATGCGTTTTTATAACCGGAAGCGTTCATGAGAAAGTTTCCGCTTTCATAACCGAATTTTAATTAACTTTCGAAAACCTAATTACAAAGTATTATTATAATGAAAAAGCAGTGCACAAAGCGAGTGGGGGCGTCAAGAGGCGGGTCCGGGTCCATGGGGGTCCACGTAGAGAGCCCGAACCATCCAGCCAGCCAGCCAGCCAACCAAGCGAGTGCTGCCCCTGCAGCGACATCCACGACTACATCCTCCGTTTCTACAACCTCCAACCCACGAGATTGCTACACAAAAAGAAACTTAAGATCCCTCTTGAAGGGTTTTTTAAAGAATAATTACTATGTATCCTTCTAAGTTCTGATCAAAGCGAAGATCAATATCCAGAAAAACATTTTTAAGACATTCTCTTACTTTGCAAGTAAGTTGTATATCAACAATCTTAAAGTAAAACCCATTTATTCCAGTGTACCTGCGCTGTCTTTGAGTGCCTTGGTGTTTGGGGGAAACGGGAGAAGGATGACGGAGCTCGGAGGATAGCAAAGGCACTACTTCCTGTGTATCCATCCGGCATAAGCTCAGGAAAAAAGGGTTGCCCGCCCACTTTTTCTACGCTTCGCAGAGATTCTCCACCGCTTTGTGAACCCCAACTTGGCTGTGTCTCGTTTTAAAATTAAATATTCCATTAGAAAATTACTACAAGATTGTGGTTCTTTATTAGCAGCAAGAGCAACAGCAACAACAGCAGTAGTCAGGGCTTTTGGCCAGAAACTCAACTGAATTCAACTTTGTTGCCACAATCTCGTCTGCGGGAAAACCGAATAGAAACTGAAAATTCGGTTGCTTTATAAAAGTGGCAAAAACTGTCTGAAACTTTCCTCTCCCCGAATTCAATTTTAAGTTGGTATTTTTGGTAAATTTTGCTTGGGTAAATAATATATATTTTATGAAATAAAGGCATGCACATAATATATAAAATAAAAAGGGGGTTCACAGACATGCGATGACTTCCCTGGAACTCTGGCAATCATCCATTTTTAATGACCCAACGAATGTCATGACAAATTTTTCCTATTTGCCAATTTTTGAAATGGTTTTGTTTTGTCAGAGTTTAGCTAAAATAGAATTTTAAATCTGTCCTCGGCTAAATAATGGCAAATTGATGACGACGGCCGCCGTGTCTGTGGCGGGGCATTTATGAATACGATATATATGTATAGATATAGATATGGAATATAGCTGGGCCGCCTTGTCTAGAGAGCTCAACAAACTCTGGAGCGTCTTTAGCGCGCATGTCTGGCATTAAGGCATCGATATATAAATTGTGGACTGGCTTGGTGGGGGTTCGAGTGGGTGGTTGGGTGGGTGGCTTGGGCCGTTGGGTGGTTGTCAGTTGTTAGCCGAACCAACCCCAAAACACAGATTTCCTAAGCCAGCCCAGATGGGGTTGTTTGCTAGCCGGGGTAAAATGAAGAAACTCCGCCAGAACGCTGACAGTCACAATGTCAAGGAAAAATCGAAATTGAAGCGACAACAAACGAAGCGCCATTTTGTTGTCGCTTTTAGTGGAGAGACCGAGACCCAGACCAGGTTCCCCTACTCCTCAGTCGCCACAGTCCTTAGTCCCCAGACCCATTTTCAGTCCCAATACCGCCGACCCCTTGCTGAACAACAAAGCGAACTCTTTATGGAACAGCTCCAGTCGGGCTGGAGGCTATAAAAAATGTATTAAAGCCAGTCGCCCCCACAGGCACATGTATAAATAAAATGTCGTTTATAGATATATAGAAATTGTGACCTTCCTGCTTAATTAAAAAAGAAAAAAAATAGACAACAGCTCGTCAAACATGGCCCAGCTCTGCACAAGATAAGTAATAATTTTAATGTCTACGGAATGGCCGAGAAACCATAGGACCTGGATCGTACCATATATTCCTCCAAATGAATCACACCGATGTTAATCAAAGGTGGATGGTTACTGGTTCGTTAGGGGGAATTGCGTCGGATCAGGCTCTGTCTGCTGTTTATATTGCAGAGATAAGGTCCACGATAGGGATAGGTACTCGTACTCGGCACTGGTACACTCAGTACACTCGGTACTGCTCCATGAATATTACTAGAAAGCAAACAGAATGGAATAGAGCCGGGCAGAAGACTTCCCTCCCCGTTTCGGGAAGAGGTAGAGCGAGATAGGGTGCTGGGTTGGGTTGGGCTGAGATGGGTTAGTCAGAATGTCAGGTCCGGGACGGGACCCATGTCCCATGTCCCATCCTTGGTTGTTTACCTTCTTGTTCCGTTGCAATTTATGAGTGCACCGCGATAAGGGTTTATCATCGAATATATATACTATATAGTAGTGGAAAACTGCACTCTGCATCTGAGTGACGGCGATAAGATAGCGACTCCTGGAGCTATCGGTCGTTCAATTCGGATTCGCTGCATTGATAGAGTCGATATCGTCGATACAGAGATAGGACATACAGCCACAGCCCAATCAATATATAAATGATTGTTGGAGGTCAGTTGTTTGAGTCAACAAAAGGTTGGGAAATGAAAACTAATTTATGATTTTTTTTTTCCTTTTTCTTGTATTTCAAACATTAAAATAGTCGATTTTGGTTGTCGTTGACGTTGTGTGTTTGTTTTTGCATGATTTATAATAATATTAATTTTTACTAGCTTTAGAGTTGGATTTTAATTCTTGCATTGACATTTATTGAATTTTATATTGTGTATTTTACAATAATTTTCATTTGTTTCTGTGTCAGTGTGTCGGTGTTTATATTTAGACTATTTTTTATCAAGTTTAATTAATTAGCTTAGCTCAATGTAAAAATGGGTCTTTGTTTTGTGTTTGCATTTCATCGTTTTTTTTTTATTATTTTTCTTTACGCACAATATAACTAATATTAAAAATTATTGAATAATAATTGCAGTTTTTTTTTAGGTTTTGTGTTTTGTGTTTTGCTTTTTCGTTATTTATGCTAATTAAATGTTAAATGCTATACAATATTTATATTTATTTTATGTTTACTTTCAAGTGGTGTGGCATAATTTCATACAATTTGATTAATTCTCGAGTTAGTTAAAAATTGGTTGCTTAGTTAAGTTGGGGCTTCTTATTTTTTTTTGTGGAGGGGGGTAGGGTGTTGCTTAACGGTATCTATTTATATATTATTTACAAAATGCCTTAGCCTAACGAATTCGTACAACAACAGAAGACACATAATGTAAATGAAATGCGGGATTTTGCGATATCAGCGGAATCGGCGTATATCGATGCGCGTCTATATATATAAATGGGATTTTGATAAATTAGTCAATTAAAAACGTGACGTTTCCTTATGCATGGCCAGATTTTTGTTGCTTAGATAGTTTGAAGATTCTTAGGGTGTTTGCTGGACTGCTCAATATGATGATTTGGGCTTTAGATTTCTTTTTGGTTTTGATCATTTGCGATTCGAATTCGATTGCGATTGCGATTGCGATTGCCTTTGGATAAAGGATATTTAGTATTTGTATCTCTCTTTTTGGGACTGTTTTTTAGTTAGGGTTTTGTTTTCTGAAACAACATTACACACGATCCCCTCTCTCGCTCTCACTGTCTCTAGCTATCTCTCTACTCCTCCATCTTGGATACATTTAAAATGTTTATAAATTTTTAGTTTTAACCGCTTTGATTGTTATTGCTTGTTTCGAAACAACGAAAACAAATGGCACGGAATTATTATTTTGTATTTGTGTTAGCAAAACGTAAAAATGTTAACAAAAGTTCTGCTGCACTTACAACTACATCACTTTTTCTTTCTCCTCCGATTTGATAACCCCCCGGAACAGAATATATATAGTATTGGAACTGAACTGAACAACTCAAAAGGCAGCGCTCTCGATCGGGTCTCTATATAGGTATATGTACAAGTGCGAGTTGCGGCCGAAGACTCACGTGCTCAAAGGATGCGGATGCGGCCAGGTGCTAAAAGCCACTGGCACTGCACTCGCTAATTGGCAGGCAACCGGCAACAAAGCCGCTGCCTGTCGAGTTCGAGATCTACAGCTATAGCTACAGCAGATTCTGCAGGGCGGCGGCCCCATTGAAAGTCAGGCTGTGATTCCAATTTCTATAGCCTGCCGCCGCGGCATATTGCTGGTAGTTGTTGTACAACTGCTGCTGCGCCGCCTGATGTTGCTGCAGTTGCTCCTCGCTCAGATCGCTGGTGATATTCGAGGAGTCCTCCTGCAGTTCCTGCAGCAACTGTTGCTGCTGCTGGTGGTGTTGCTGCTGTGCCTGCTGCTGTTGCTGTTGGTGTTGTTGATGCAACTTTGTGTGTGAGTAATTAGATCCCGATCCTGAACCCGAACCCGATCCTGATCCTGATCCCGATCCCGATCCGGATCCCGATCCCGCCTTGCCGCTGGCCTTTGCTGCTGATGTTGCTGGTGTATTGGAAGCGGATGTCAGTTGCTGCGCCGCCTGCTGCTGATGTTGCAGTTGATGCTGCTGCTGTTGCTGCTGCTGCTGCTGTTGCTGCTGGTGTTGCTGGTGCTGCTGCTGCAAGTGCTGTTGCTGCTGCGAGCGCAGCATCTGCTCCGCGCGTCCTTAAGCCAGCGGGTATTGGTGATGTCACAAGCTCGTGGTTCCGGCGGGCGCATGATATCCAAGACTCTGGTAGTATGAGTCCTGACCTAAGGCAGCGTGTGAGTTGGTCAGCGGACTGAGGGCGTTGTAGCCGGCATACTGGCTCATGTCGTACATCTTGATGTCCGCCTTCGACTCCGTGGGCAGCAGGCGGTTGATGGAGAACGGGTGGCTGGATGGCGTGTATCCCGAGGGTTCCTGCTTCAGCGGATGCATCGATGAATGATAGTCGCTGATCAGAGACGGATGACACCGGTTGGCCATCATCGCCGACAGCTCCTCCTGCTGCAGTTGATGGTGCTGGTGGTGGTGATGGGTGGGCACATGTTGCGGCTGTTGGCTGAGGCACAGTTCCGCATTGGCATGCAGCATGGCCAGTGCCTCGGCATCCTTGCTGTGCGCCGCACTCAAGACATTTACTCCGGCAATCGATGCTCCACCCGCCTCCTTGTGGTGCTGATGGTGATCCAGCCGACTGTGGTGGTGGTGGTGCATATGGTGAGAGTCCTCATGATCCTTCTTGCCCGGACTGGTGGCTTCCAGACTGCTGTGGGATGGACTCTTGTGCAGCTGCCTGATGGCCTCCTTCTTCTCGTCCTTGAAACGCTTCTGTCGCCTCAGATAGCATCCATTCTCGAACATATTTCCCGAATCCGGGTGCAGAGTCCAGAAGGAACCCTTTCCCGGCTTGTCTGGTGTCCGTGGGATCTTCACGAAGCAATCGTTGAAACTTAGCGAGTGGCGAATGGAGTTTTGCCAGCGTTGCTGATTCTGCCTGTAGAACGGAAACAGATCCATGATGAACTGATAGATCTCCGAGAGCGTCAGCATCCTGGTGGGGTTATTCTGAATGGCCATGGTGATCAGTGAGATATAGCTATATGGTGGTTTAGCATGTGTATAGCTTCTCCTATACGTGGTTGGCTTGTCCACTCGTGATCGGCCCAGGGAATTTGGGGAACCTGTTTCCATTTCCCGCGATCCCGGCGGCATAGCACCATAGGTACCGCTCAATCCCGCCGCCGACATGCTGGCTGCCGACATGGCCATGCAGCCACCCATATTCCCGAGCGGAGATCCCATGCTGGCATAGCTCATCGAACTGGGGGTCATACAGTTGCCGCCCATTGAGTTCATGGCCGCTGCACCCATGCTCCCGTTCATGCTGGCATTCATGCTGGCGCTCATGCTGGCACTCATACTGGCCACTGCTGCCGCCGAGTCCAAGACGCTGGAGCTAAAGGTGGCCGCCGCTTGGGGAGAAACAGAGGACATACCGCCCACCGGCAGGCCCATGCTGTTCATTGTGTAGGCAGATCGGGCCAAAGGACTCATGCTGCCGCCGTTGCTAGTCGGATTTGGGTTGTTATTGCTGGGCGGTGGAGGACCACCACCGCCTCCTCCTCCGCCGCCGCCCGACGGAGGGCCACCCGAACTGGCCATGCTCACCGGAGCACTGCTCGGAGGCGGCTCCGCGTAGAGCTTCTGCATGATGTCAATGGTGGTCTGGTGGGGGCTACCCTTCAGAAAGCTATTCAATAGTTGCGCCGTTATGTTGCCGGCTTTCGGACGCGCTGCCCTCTGGTGGATCGATGGAAAAGGCAACGCGTTCAGGGACGCGTTATTCAAAACGAAAATCAAAAAAGAGGTCTTTTAAACGTGGCTTTGATTCGATTGCGATCAAATTTGTTTTCAGTGCACTATCACTGCCTCAATGGATTTGCATATTTCTGGCATTTTATCGAGAGCACTTGGGCACTTGTCACTTGTTGTTGGCTGGAAGGTTCTTGGCTTCTAAGCTCTGTATGTAAACACTGTGATTTAATTATTTGTGCGGGATGATCATATAAAATATATATATTTTTCTTGTTATGATACTTCGATTCTATTTCTTTTCTTTATTTCTTTTTTTTTTGTTGTCTGCCGCACCGAGCGGCCACAAAAAACCGACGCACGAACGTGAATATCTAGCTGGCTGTTGGCCACTGAAGTCTGAAGCTGGGAGCTGGAGCACTGAGGTTGTGCTGGGCTGCTGCTTTTGCTGCTGCTGCCTTTGCTTTTGCTGCTTTGGTTGATGCTGCTGCTGCTGCTGGTGCTGGTCCGCTCGAGTGTCTCTTTGGCTTGAGCTCTTGAATGTGACTGTTTGCAGAGGGGAACGCTTGTCTACTATTTGGCTTGCGCTTGCTGCCAACAAATATTGTTCGAGCCGCGCTCAAGTGCCGACGCCGACGTCGACAGCGGCAGCGACGTTTGTGGCAGCTGAGGCAGCAACAACTCGGACTCGTTCTCACCAATGGCCCGGTGGTATAGTGTGTCTCACCACCTTCGAGGAGTTACCAATGACAGGCGGCGGTTCTCTTACGTACACAGTGGTGTTTCGGCGCAAGCGCATTGGCTGGACGGCCTCTTGTATCAACAGAGCACTGCCGGTTGCCAGGCAACTAACCATAAGGAGGCGTGGCCAATCGAAATACTGAGCAACGCCCTCCACTCACACACCCTCATTACACGCACACGCAGACACAAAATACAGATACAGATAGAGGCCGAGGCAGAGATACAGATACACCCGTGGTGTAGTATAGCCTAATGCTGAGCGACGCCATGTTACAGTTAACGATTTTCCCTAATGCGATCAATAATCGCTCGCTCTCGTTCTCGCTATAGAGTGCTATCAAAGAAAAAAGTACGAAAAAAGAAGATATAGACGAGGTCTGGAGAAGGAATCTCTGGGGAGACTGAGAATGCGACGACGCTCTGTTTTTCGAGAGAAACAAAAAGAACGAAGCCGCCTTGGCTCCCAAAGAAGACATTTAATAATATGTGTGTGTTTTTCTGTCAGTTTTTTCCGTATTCCGTATACGGCTTCGCTTTTTTTTTTCGTTGTCGTTTTTTATTTTTTGAGGTTAAGGTATGCCAATGTCACTCTCATTCATTCCCATTCGCATTCGTGGCGAGGCATCGCGAGCGGCAGCAGCAAAACAGCAGAACAGCGGCGCAGTTCTCCTTTTTGGCAAGTCATTGCGAAAGTGACCCAGTTCTGAGTTCTGCATGTGGCCATCATCCTCGTCTGCATCAACCACATCCACATCTACGTTTCATCTCAGCTGAAAGTCTCACAACATCCTACCTGAGAACCCACGAAATATCCACAGTTCATTGATAGCGCGTGCTGGCGGATACTTCCTGGTATCCTGGCTTCCATCTATGTTTATGGTCGCGGATAAAACGCATTTGTAATTTTGGGTCATAAACCATAGACGCCTATCATATTCCGCTTAACCCTTTCGTTTGGCCAAGTGTATCTGCCTGTGTTTGTATCTGTGCGAGTGTGATTCTGTGATAGTGTGTGAGCCTGGCTCATTATTGCCTGTCGTAAAAAGACAATTGTCTCGTTTCTCAATGAAAGTTTTTACTCAATTAAGATCTACCTGAGTGGGAGGAACTGCGGGAATTTCCGCATTACATTTCCATTTGTGAATGCAGGAGTTCAATTTCCTCTCTTTCATGTTCATAGCCTGCAATTAGGCGCATAAAATAATCCTTTCATGAATAAAACGTTTTAAATGAGATCTTTGATATATTTTTTTATTTATGTACGTTATTATAGTTCCAAAAAGTATACCTAGAACTAAACACAATTATGTTTAAAGAAGGAATCATCCGATATAATCACCTCATTTGTAGGTAATCAGGATGACTCACGATCATATAAAAAATAAAGCTGCTTCCGATTTACATAAGCACTACTGAGTAATGGTTTTATCATTTTCAAGATTATCTTCAAATTGTTTGAATAATATGTTATTAATCATGAGTTAGATAAGATAGAAAGATAAATGGAGTCCGATTTGGATCAAATCGTTAACTAAACCAAAATATTCACATTCCCTTTCAACAGTGTTTGGCTTGCCATTGGGATATCTATATCCCATCAACATCGTGATCATTAAACACCAAACACTTTAGGTGACTGAACACATATGTACCCAAATCTTTATGTGCACTTCTAATAACCGTAATGTGCTTAAATATTTAATATTTTTATTGTATTTCACAGGCAATTCAAGTGGCTTTGGCTCATTAATGTTTGCGGTGTGGGCGGGCATTTGGCTGGCTGGCTGTTCGTATAGAGCGCATCAAATGTGTGCTTTTTTTTGGCGTAGACTCTCTGCAAATAGTAATGCCAGGCAGTCCAAAAATGTGTATTTATTTACCTTTTAGTCATTTATCTATTTATTTATTTGCTTTAAAAGCGCGCCACTGTAGGTCGGATCCGTTGACGTTTCGGTTTCGGTTTGCTTTTGGCCGGGATTTTGATACAGTTGAGATACAGTTCGGCTGCACTCGGCACCAAATCGGGTCTAAGCCATGCTCAAACTTTTTAATTAGTTTCAATTGTTGGCGCCCCTGGCTCCATCGGCCACCCCCTGCATCCCCCAAATGGATATTTATGGAAAATATTTGCTTTGCTACTTTTTTCCCGCTTTTGTTTTGATTTTGCTGGTGGATATGGCCGCGTGTTGATATGGCTTTAAAACGCTGCGCTTTCTGTTTGTTTTAAGCATTTGTGTGACGCATGCGCTGTCTGGCAATGACTTTACAAAACTATATATATATGTCTATATATATTTATCTATCAAAGCATTTGACCAACATTTCTCAGATAGATGACGTCCGTATCCGCGGCGGTCACTGTATCTGTGTCTATATCTATATCGGTGTATTGCCATAATATGTATAATATTTATTTTTATTGTTATTATTTGTTATTGTTGATTTATTTGTTTGTACAATATTTTCACACAAATTAAAATAACCGGCCGCATATGAATCGACACCATCGAGCATCGGACATCGAACGATGAGCATCAATGTCGTTTAAATGGTTTTTCGTCGTTTTATTTGTTTTGTATTTTTTGGCTTAACCCAATTATCGTGGCTCATTAGTGATTATTTAAGCATTTGCAGCAACAGCAGATGATCACAGTGTTCTAATATCCAACGCAAACACATTGAGATCTTGCTGTCTCTTCTTTATAAAGTTTACTTATCTTTCCTTTGGGGATAATTAAAATTTGTTACTTAATAAGAAATTTAAGAGGCAAAAAGAAAGAGGGATTTTTCATAAAACTTATAATTTTGTTTATCTCTTTCAGTATGTCGACTATCCGGTTTTAGTTAGCAGTTAAATCTTGTTTCGGCTCTTTTTAACTAATTTGCAGTAACTTTTCCATGAAATGTTGGCTTGCACGCTTGAGCATCAGTTAGTTAAACGAATACTTTGTTTTTGAAAAATAACTCTATTAAATAGTATTTAAGTTTTTGTTAAAGACATAGTACTCTATCTTCTACTTATTTTAAAGGTTTAAAATGATTAATTGGAATTTGTATCGCATTATTTTTCATCCAATGTTTAAGGTGTATCTCTCAGGTATTTCGCCAGGGGTCTATGAATCGGAATCCGTATCTGTATCTGCGGCTGCCTGTGTATCTAGGTCTTTGTACTGCGTGTGCCGTAATGAGCGTAACCATAAAAGCGTCTTTTGTTTTACGACCACATTGCGCGCGTGTTTACCATAGAAAACAATGCCAATTTTATGGCTGCCCCTGCCACGCAGACAATGGACCAAAAGAACCGCATCCCAGCAAGTCCAGCCAGCATCCGCCGATACTCGTATATGCTATAGAGTACTATATAGTAGATGCAAAGGTGACACCGTAACTAGAGCAAAGGGGTCGAGAGCGAGACGTAGCATTAATTAGAACGCCACGGATATATGCGAGTATACGAGTATATATAGAGGTTTAAGGATCGGAATTACTTTCTTCGGGGTCGTAAAACGGCTCTTATCTAAATTAGGATGTTGCTTGTTTGCGGCTGTGTCTGCACATCGTTTTCATTATTTGCGTAGGTGTTTCATTTCCGTTTCACAATTTAGCTGGCGAGTGTTTGCCGGCATACTCGGCAGCGCAGAGCAGCGCACCTTTTGCCGCTTTGAGATTTTCCTTTTTCCTACTTTCACATGTGATTTTCTTTGTTGTCTTATCAGTTTTGGCGCGTCAGTCGTCGCCGCCGTCGTCGTCATCGTGATTCACATTTTTCCTTCCTTGCCCCGGCACTGTTTGCACTCGAAACCCAGAAACTGCACTTTTCCAAGGGCCTGAGACTTCGGGGTCGATTCACCCGATGCAGTTTAAGAATCGCAAGGGAATCGCCAGGGAATTTGGCGCATTTGGGGTGCGTGCTTTATCGGAGCCTACGGGCTACGACACTAGATATCGCATAAATCACAGCCTAGTCGCGCTTTTGCTTGATTATTTCCATTTTTATCTATTTCGCTGCGGCTGGCTATAAAGTTTCTGGTTTTTATCTTTGTGCAAACACTGGAAAGCAGCGCTATTAAGGCCCTGGCGACCTTATTTCCTCTGGCCCCCAAGAAAACAGCGAATTCTATTCTTTTAATTAAAAGACCGGAGACGAGGAAGAGCCCCTTCCCCGTAATCCAAACATTGAGGTCAGCACGGCAACGGATTTTAACCAATAAAGTTAAATCTATTTTGTGGGATGAGCATAAAATGTAAGACTTAAGATTCCCCTTTATGAAATGATTTTGTTATTAATATTAAGCATCAAAACCTAACTTTAAAGGTAGAGTTACCTAGTGCTACCTTTATTCTTTCTCGATCCTAAGTACAATCACTTTGTCCAATTTTCATAATTTGTTTATATTAAATTTATTAAAATTCCTAATTCACGTTTAACTGTTTTTAAGTTATTTTCCAAACAAATTATTTTTTGGCTGAAATCCCTCCAATCGATATAATTGATTAGGAGCCCGAGAGCCGGTTTTCTCCCACCAAACCAGTTTATGCAACCCCAAACTACAGAGGCGACTTCGAGAATGGACACCAACACCGCCCAAATTGATCATGCGAAAGAATGTTTTGTTCATCACCCGTCCGAACATCGAACATCGAGATTGGTTTCTGTCCGCTCCTCTCAAAATACTCATGCAACTTAGCACCAGGCTGCTAATTATTTATTCGTTGCCTGAAAAATTAACTTTCCAGCGGCGAACATTGTTGTAGGCCAGTGGCGACAACGAGACTGCTGCCAGTTTTATAAAGCCCCAAAAAATGTATTTGTATA